CTTGTGAGTGGGGTGACACCCGGGACGTGGCTCACGAAGGAGGATGCTAGCAAGCACCGGGTGGCCTGAACCTCCGCTGGTCCTAGCAGGTGGATTTGGAGCCAGCCAGATCTCCAGAGGCCCAGTCCTCTGCTCCAGCCACATTACCCACCCCAGCTACCTTCCTCCCTAAGCCTATTAGGCCGGGCAACACCCCCAGGCTTGAAGATAGCACCAGAAGTAGCCGGTTCCCTACAGGAGACACCAGTCTCCATTCTGAGTGTCTTACAGATGCTGGAGTCCCACAAGTACCACTGGGCAGCCATGGGGACACATCCCCCCCATAGGTGTCACACTCCAGGACTTGGGAAGCCTTTTCTGACCAAGCCAACACCAGCCTCGAGGAGAAGCGACTGCCTGGCCCATACGCAGGGTTAGCAGGGGGATGCTTGGAGAACTGGCAAGAGCCCGAGAAGCCACGTTACCTGGTGGCATGGCAGACAGGCAGCTCTTCAGAAGCCCGATGGCAGAGTCGGTGACTGCAGAGGCGGTGATGCACTCTTCAAATGCTGCAGGGGAAGACAAAGCTCCATCCGTCAGGCCTGAGCTCCGGAGGCAGCTGAAGGCACCTACTAGCCCGCGGAGAGCCGCCGACCAGCTCAGAGGCTGAAAGACAGGAGCCCAATCGGCTGCTGCCGCGGGGCACGCGGTGTTTGAAGCCAAATGAGGTTCCAAGACACAAGAGGACGTCCCCTCTCGTCCCGGCAAGGGCGGGGATTGTATGGCGCTGCCACAAAGAGCTACTGTTCTGTTTGAATTCACAGCTCTAAGGTCAGGAGGGGAATAGAGGGGTTCCATTGAGGCCCCCCCGTCTTCACAACAGGAAACCACATCAGCCAGAACCAGGGAGTCAAGCATGGGAGGAAGAGATCTGGGGTCTACAGTAACTTGGCATTCAACCCCCCTGCCCTCAGCTGGGCACAACGTGTTCTCTAGACAGGGTCCTCTCCTTGCTGGGAAGAGCAGCGTCAGCACCAACCCCCGTGGGGCAGACGAGGATCAGCGCCCCTCCCCCAGCCCAGTGCAACACTTCGGCAGCAGCTCCTGGGTCTCCCCGCCACTCCCACCCGGCAGGCCAGCGGCGGGACTGCAAGGCGCTCGAGAATCTCCGCACAGGACAGCGCTACATACAGGGGCCGCTCCAAGCAGGCTTCCGCCTCTCTCACCTTCACAGCTGCTGGCTGCTGTCCCCCTAATGGACCTGGAGACGGACTTCCGCGAGCCCTCTTCTGCCAGCGTCTCCACGGGGTTGCAGCTGGCGCTCAGACATGTCACGGGAGTCACCTGGAGAGAGGTTGTGCATATCGACACTGTGCCACCTGGGCCCCGCTCCAGGAGCAGCCCCACCTCCTCCCACTTTGAGATTCCACCTCACCCCTGCTCCCCTGCCAGGACACTGACCCTTAGGGAAGCACATCCATGTCCAAGGAGCCAGCGAGCGTCCAAGATACAAGGAGTTACTCCTTTCACAGCCTCCATTCTTACCTCATTCCCTTCCATGGTTTTGTAGCTCATCTGCCTGCAGATAGAGGTCTTCATGAGGCCAACCACCAACTTGGAGATGTCATCCTTCTCTTCAGAGTGGCCCTTCTTAACTAGAAGGAAGGAAGGAGATGTTTAGTGAGCAGACCCAGCAGATGTCAGGGAGGCCAGCAGAGTTGGTGGGTCAGAGGATAGATATTTAGAGTCCTTCCGCTGGCCCGGCCGAGAGCAGAAGCAGTTTGACATCTTGTTTACATTCTCCCACCCCCTGATTCTGTTCCAGTTTGGCACTTCACTCAGCTGGACCAGCGAAACCAGGCTGGGCAGTTTTAGTCAGTTTCATTTCCTGGTTCTCATGCACCCGCTGACCTTGCGAAGTTGCGAGGGAACATTTGCATCCCCAGGGAAAGGGATTGGAATGAAAACGTCAGATCTGAGCACGCCCTGCAGCATCTCCGGAGCGGGGCCTCGCCTGCTCGGAGCAATGCTCTGTTCAGAACGCCGGAATAAGAGCTTCCGGGGGAAGGTCAGACCCCAGATTTCCAGAGAGCGACTGAGCTCCAGGCAGCTAGGCATCAGGCGTGCCATCCTCCACCAGGTTTAACTGGCTTCATGCTACCTGCTGGCCAACAACAAAAGCCAAGACAGACGGGAGGGAGAGAACTTACTTTGGGGTTTCTTTTTCCCAAACAGCGTCTTGGTGACTTTTGCAAATAGAGTCTTTGCCGGGTTGGGAGGATTGAGCTCAGGCACCATCACACAGCTGCTGGGTGGGAGCTTATCAGGTGTGTAGCCCTGGGGAGACAGAGTGTCATGGTCTGGTTCACCTTCCTCAACGGATCACACATCATACAGCAAGACAACAGCTGCCCTGGGTTTGGTGGCAGTGGCACTTTCTCTCCTTTGACAGCCAGGGGCAGCTCACTTCTCCAGGGAGCTGCATTGAAAGGGCTACACTTGGGAATCGTCCAGCCCTGAGACGCAGCCTCCGCTCACGTGGAACAGCCACATGGCCCAGGAGTGCAGAACTGCCAAGAGCGAAACAGCTCAAATGGATACAAGGGGATTTAGACGGCACACAAAGGCTAAACAGCCAGTGATGTTAATGGCCAATAGGCCAGGCTCATAGACAGCTGTCACTTGCAGGTTGGTGTCTCCAGCAGACTGGTGTCCTTTGCAAGGGCACTGGGTCATGGGAAGAGCGCAGTGTACTGAGACATACACCCTGGGAGGTTTGCCACCTGAGCAGAGACCAGGCCCACCCTGCTTTTATTCTCCTTTGACCGGTGGGGGTGGCGGGGGGGAGGGGAAGGTGGAAGGGGGGATAGCTACCCGCAGGAGAGCCACTCACTTTGGTGAAGAATTCATGGTCCAGGATCTCCTCCAGCGTGAGGCGGTCAGACGGGTTGCGTTTCAAGATGCCTGTGATCAGCTGCTTCGCTGGCGTGGAGAGGAAGGCCGGGAGGGTGTATTCCACCTGCTTGATACACCTGTACGTCTCCTTGAGGTCCGAGGTCTCAAAGGGAGGGTTCCCGCACAACAAGGTATACCTGGAAAGAGAGGTGGTGGGGGTGAGAGCTGGGCACACGTCCCCCTGGCCACACCCCGGCCTGACTCACCCCCGGCCCAGCAATTACAAGGCACGGAAGTTATTCAGGTGCTGACAAGAGGCAGCACCTGGCTCCAAGTGTCACCTGTGACGAGCCTCTGAGCAAACACCATCCTCTGGGGAGCAAGAGGCTGCAGTCACATCCGGAATGCCCCAGAGATAAGGAAACCTTGGGAACCAGGAATGTCGGTTGAGCCACGTCTATATTTAGCAGGGGCGGGGCTAAACTCTGCCCGGGTCCCGCCCCCCGGCAGCTGAGCTCACCGCTGTGAGAGCCCACCTTCTGTCTGCATCTGTCCAAGCGGCTGAGTGAATGGAAAGTTCAACAGGAAGCCTGTGGCTTACCAGGGTGAACAGCCACGCGTGAGATGTTTATGATTCGCACTGCGGGGAGTGATCACCGCCCATATAAATAGATCAGTGATCGGCCCCCGCGCCTGACATTTTCCATTGTTTTGAAAGCGCTCTGAAGAGCGGTGTGGTCTGCAGCAACACAGGACTCGGTAGCACCTGGGGGTCCTGTGTTGCTGGGCTCATTGGAGGACACCCCAAGAGCCAGCCATTTACAAGCACGGCGGTTCCCCCCTTAACTGCCAGCCCTGCAGATGCCCCAGGATCAGTCCAGCTGGGCTTTGCTTCCAATCCATGAGAAGTAAAAACCTCTGCAAGCTAAACTCGGCCCTCGGCAAGGCCTGAGCAGCTCCCACTGCTCTCAGTGGCATCGGACCGGTACTGGTGCAAACCGCAGGCCAGAGTAGAGACCAGCTCGCTCATCTGCACTGGGGAGTGGCTCTGGCTGGATTACCCAGGGAGCTGCTCAGGACGGCCTCATTCTTCCAGCCCCTTTTCCCGCCAGCCCGGCCCTGCTTTGCAACGAGAGCTGGGAACTTACACGACACAGCCCAGAGACCACACGTCCGACTCTGGCCCGTGGCCCTGCCGGTGGAGCACTTCAGGAGCGAGGTAGTTGGGGGTGCCACATATCGTCCTATGGGGAGAGCAGAGCACGGTCAGCGGCGCGGTAACAAACCAGAACACAAGTCAACTCTGCCCCAGCTGGTGTCCTCCTCCATGCAGCCCCCTGTCTGACAGGGGAGGAGAGCCAAGCCCTGGGCTCCAGCATGTCCATTCTGCATCCAGAGCAGCAGAACTCCATCACCCCCATGCTCAAGGGAACGCACTAAGCACCCCGCCCCATCCCTTCAGGGTCCACTTTAACCCCCACAATCCCTCCACACTCTGCTGACCCAGCACCAAGCTCCCTCCAGCCTCAGATCCCCACACAGCTGCCCTCACCACCGCCTGGGTGCGGGGCCAGGACAAGGAGGCACCATCTTCCCTGTGCATTCCCCTCCGCTCTGGCCAGGCAGGGCCACAGTTGATTACAGCAAGGTAAGCGATGGAGGGAAGTGCTGCATTTCCCAGGCAGGGTATGGGGCCGAGAGGAAGAATCAAGTATCGGGTGGAGGTGAGCAGGAAAGCCTGGAGACTTACTTTTTCTTCTGGTCCATAGACTCACGCCGGGTGGCAAGGCCGAAGTCTCCAACTTTCAGTTCCATGTTGTCATTGACAAAAAAGTTGCCTACAATGGAAGGGAGGCGTTAGGATACCAGCGCAGGGACAGATGCTACCCAGGATTCTCCTCCACACCCCACACTCCCGAACAGGCGCTCAGGGTCTGAGGTCATTGTACACACCCAGTTTGAGGTCCCGGTGGAGGATGCCTTTGAGATGGAGGTACTTCAAGGCTGATATGATCTGTTTGAGGTAATACCGCACCTCTGGCTCCAGCAGCGTGTGCCGGGCTTTCCAGATGTGAGCCAGGGACTGGAAGAGGAAAAGCAAAGCTGTTAGCGACACTGGGCCAGAAAGGCATGGAGGATGTTTTCAGAGGCCTGAGACACTAGTGTGAGCAACAGTTTGCAGCGTGCAGACACCTGATTTTAATCTGGCTCTGGTACCACCAAGGCTGTGTGAGTAAGCTCCGGTTTGTTCTCCGGCCCAGACTAGATCACCCCAGCAATTTCTTCCGGCCTCAGGCTCTAGGACCAAGAGGTGCTGCCTATTCCTGGAGCACGTTTTGTCAGGCCAGAGACTCTAAGTACCACCTCGGGTGAAGCTGTGGCCGTGAGCTGCTCATTTTACACAGGGACTGTTCTGAGAAGTTGCCAGCGTAACTGGCTGGTGAAAGCCGGAATTGATCCAGGCAGGCCCAAAGATGCCACCTTAGCAGCCTTGGGGTACTGAAGGATTTTGGGTCAGCCCCATTGGTGTTTACAAGAGAGTCCATGAAGGGAGTGAACTGCTGGCAAGAGAGTCAGACTAGAACAGTTCGTAGAGCCTGTAAGTTGCTCGAACAGCCCTGCCAGAAGCCCAGTCACAAGGTTAGTGTGGTTATGCAAGACCAGCACGTGGCGTTTACCCAGCCGATGACACATGAGGCAAGGACTGGAAAATGAAAGGGGCACATCTGACAAGCAGCTGAGTGTGAATTCAAGCATCCGTTAGAAAGCGAGATTTGCATCCGCGCATGAGTGGTGAGTCAAGAGGGGCCTGCTTGGACTCCGGGAACAAAACACAGCTACGGCCTTGTCTACACTAGACAAATCGGGTGCGTTTGCTGTACAGTCCCCCCCCTAACACGACTGACACACTCCAGTGCTCCCAACAGCGTCACGCCAGCCCTGGTGTCATACGGGGCGAGCCCACCACTTACTTTCCTGCTGCAGTGTTCCAGGAAGATGTAGATGTTCTCCGAATCCTCAAAGTAATGCGAGAACTTGACAATGTGCTTGTGATGCAGGCCTCTGTGCAGCTCGATCTCATTCATAATCTGAAAAGGAGGAAGGAGCTCATCAACCAGCAGCCCCATCACTCTGCAAAGACCTTGCTCCGGGCAAGCTTGAAATCTCTGCTCTCCCCCAGAGCGGATCGCTCAGCCATCACCTCCACACATACCTTCTCCCGTTGGTGTGGCTTAGCCACTCGGCTGTGAGGAATCACTTTCACTGCATAGGTTTTGTTGCTGTTGACGTCTGTCATTTCATAGCATCTCGCAAATCCGCCCTGCAAAGGAAGAGGCAATCATTACCCCCGTCACCAGTTCTCCAATCCTCCCCTCTGCTCTCAGGGAAGTCACCAGAGCATTCAACACATGTCACTGACTCACTTAGTCACAGCTCCACCCGGTCGGATAGAACAATTGCCATTTGACTTCCTGGAGGTTTCCCCGGGGACACATGGGCTTTGAAGACAGCCAAAATATCTGGTTTCCTGTCATACTAGAAGCCCCATTATTAAAACCTGGAGTGACAGCCCTGAGTCAGGCCAGTTTTTAAAATCAGTTCCTGTAAAGTCTGTAGCGTGTCTCGCCTCCCACCACACCATCAATACTGTGAGTCTGCTCCCAGAGAGCGACTGGAAAGTCCTGCACATGGGAGGGAAGTGAGAACAGGCCGAGATTTTGGACCACGGGGAGAGAGAGAACCGTCCAGGCAGGTTTTTCTGCAATGATGCAAGGCACAAAGCCACAGAATCCCACACCATGCGCCTTGCCATGGGTGGAACAATGCTCTGAAGGGTAAGGAGAAGGCGAGCTGCTCTTTTTTGGGGGATCAGCCTCTGCCCCATAGCACCAGCAGCCAACGGGCCCAACCATGAGGCACTGGCCAGGGGTGAACAAAGAACTCAGCACTGTTCAGTACTTCCCCTCCCTCTGGCTGTGAGGTCCCGGGCAGGGCTTTGAAACAGAGGTGCTAAGAGGAGTTTGCAGAGCTGGGCTGAAGGCAGCATTTCACCAGAGGCCTCCAAAAGCCGCAGGGGGGAGAAGGGGGTGTCTCTAAACATAATGAGTTATGGAGTCCCAAGGGTGAGAGGATTGAGCCAGGGACACCTCCCTCCACAAGCCAACTGGGGTCACCCCAGGCAGGGGAACGTGGGTGTGTCTCAGCCAAACACCTGCTCCAGTCCTGGATCCGGGGGCGGCTCCCGGGGCAATGAAACCGGAGGCCGTTTCAGAAAGAGACACAGGCACCGCAGGGGCTCACCGGGGGCGGGGGGGAGACAGGGAAGGCCCGGGGGAGATTTGCCGGGTCCCACCCCAGAGCAAGTCCCTAAAGCTGCCAGCGGGCAGCCGAGCCTGGGGAGAGCCCGAGTCTCCCGATGCCCAGTGCCGGGGAGGGGGGCGGGAAGGAAGGGGTGACTCACCCGCTCACAGCCGCAGCACCCCCCCAGGGCCGTGCACGCAGATAGCGGAGCCAGGCTGCCTACGGAG